GCCAAAGAATAGAAGGGAGCAGATGACAGGAAAGAAAATTACTCCAAAGCCTTATCATTATTGGTCTTATTAAGTAATAGAATATCAAGCAATTTTACGTTCTAATTTTTTGTTTTCGTATTTCCTTTGGAAGAACACGAATTACTTTGTAGAAGAGGGTATGCTTTTTCATAAAAATTTAACATTATATTTAATTCCCTCCACTAGAGGGGGAAGCTATTTCATGTAATTGCACTTCCATGTGCTATTGAAAACCAGTCAAGAATGGGGTATTTTGGTCCATTTTGTTTGATTGTTGTGAAATGTTTTTTTATTTGTTTGTTTGTTTAGAGCTTCTGCAAAATAGTTTTAAATATTAAAACCATTACATAAAACGTAGAGGAATTTTGTGCTTTTTCCCCCACCTTTTTCCCCATTTAAAGGTTGTCTGGCTTTAACTAGTAATGAGACATTAAAGAATTTGAAGTTATTAGAATACTTATTAATTTTTTAAACATCTGTCCTGAGTATAAAAATGTACATTCATTGAGTAAGTTTTTGAAAACAATGAAAAATTTAATGAAAAGCCACTTCTGCATGTACACACACCTAATCTACCTTTTTGTTTGAAAAAAATACCAACTATATTTTGTCATGTCACTAAGTACTCTTTTACATCAGGGAATCTGATTATTGACAGTCTCCCAAGAAAAACACACAGATATATTTTGAAAACAGAGTTCAGTGTGTTTAGTGGCTTCATAGAGTATTCATGTGGGTGTACTCTTTGTATTTAAACCTGTCCCAATTTGGAGGCTTTTAACTTACATACACTCCAGTCAGATAGACAAAAAATAAAGTCTCATAGTAACAGGTATTGTAGACCTGGAAGTATAGTAGGAATCTCAGACCCTGCTTGTACAGGAGTATAAATCAACATGCTACTTGAAAGCACTTAGCATTGTTGGTCTGCTGAAGGTGCAGAGATAAACTGTGACCCAACAGTCCTCCTGGCCTCCAGGGGAACACACTGGGATAATGGCTGCAAAGGATACGTGTGCTTTATTTGCATTAGCCTAGACTGTAAATGACCCAAATGCCCATGAAGAGTTAGAAATTAAGTATGTGTATTTGTACAGCGGGAAAACAATAAAGCAGTAACTGAATGAACTAGAGCTACAGGCAACAACGTGGATGAATTTTTTAAAACAATGTTGAGTGAAAGAAGTAAGATACAAAAGACTGCATACACTGTGATTCTCTTTACATAAGTTACAGGTTGGCAAAACCAACCTGCGCTATTAGGCATGCATGCATGTAAAGGAAATGATTGTCAGGAAATGAGGATGGTGTTTACCTCTGGAAAGAGGGAAGGAGCTTGTGATGGGAAAAGGATATGGGGTTTTTCTGGATGCTGACAACTTGTCTTTGCAGACTTGAGTGCTGGTATATAAACTCTCTTTTTCCTTGTCACACTGACATTTTTGTTGTGTACTTTTCAGTATGCATATCATATTTTACAATTCAAAACCTGCTTAAAGAAATGGTTGCTTCTGGGGAGCTGGTGTGTGGGTGGAATGAAACGATTTCCTTATAAGCCTTTCGCTGTTTGCATTCACATGCTCACTCATTTAGCATTAATTGAACATATTCGATGTATGAAGCACTCCTCCAAGTTTTAGGTGTGTTAGCTCATGTACTTACCACCATCTTAGAGACAGGGAAATTGAGGCCTATAGTTACTGAACTTGTCCAAGGCTTTATAGCTAGGGTATAGGGCTTGGATTTTGCCCCAGTCTGAATTTTTAAAATATAATCTATAAGAGGAATGTAGCTGCTAATTATAAGCAAAGAAATTCACAATTAAGGAAGATGGCAAGTTTTCACCTATCCAATTGGAGAAAAACACACATCTTTCATAACACAAAGATTTTGTATTGACAGGTTTTCCTTACTTAACAATTATTGGTTGACTATCTGCACTGTGCTGAGGCACAGGTCCTGGGGTAAATGCTTAATAAAATAAACCCACCTCCCTCACATAGCTTACCCCTCAGGTGAGGAAGTAAGCAAGATGTTATAATAGAGGTTGCATACCAAGTGATACCTTGCTGATAGCAGTATAAAATCTTAGACTCTTTTGGAAAGCAGTTTAGAGATCCTTACGTCAGAGCCTTAAAAAAATGTTCATATGCTTTGATCTCATTTTTATGGATTTCTTGCAAGAAAATTACTCCAGATATGGAAAAAAGCCCTCCTGTATGAAAATATTTTATCCTATAATACTGAAAAGTTGAAAAGAATTTGAATGTTTAATCATAAAGGAGTGATTACATGAATTGGTAAACCTGTTCAGTGGCATATTTTGTAGCCCACTAAAAAAAGAATCAAGGTGATGAATCCTCTGATGATATATTAGAAATGATTGATTCAATGTTGAATGGGAAAAAGTTGAACATAAAATTTGATACACAATGTGATGGGAGCTTTGTTTCAGAAAAGAATCAGCCTAGCCAAAGAATAGAAGGGAGCAGATGACAGGAAAGAAAATTACTCCAAAGCCTTATCATTATTGGTCTTATTAAGTAATAGAATATCAAGCAATTTTACGTTCTAATTTTTTGTTTTCGTATTTCCTTTGGAAGAACACGAATTACTTTGTAGAAGAGGGTATGCTTTTTCATAAAAATTTAACATTATATTTAATTCCCTCCACTAGAGGGGGAAGCTATTTCATGTAATTGCACTTCCATGTGCTATTGAAAACCAGTCAAGAATGGGGTATTTTGGTCCATTTTGTTTGATTGTTGTGAAATGTTTTTTTATTTGTTTGTTTGTTTAGAGCTTCTGCAAAATAGTTTTAAATATTAAAACCATTACATAAAACGTAGAGGAATTTTGTGCTTTTTCCCCCACCTTTTTCCCCATTTAAAGGTTGTCTGGCTTTAACTAGTAATGAGACATTAAAGAATTTGAAGTTATTAGAATACTTATTAATTTTTTAAACATCTGTCCTGAGTATAAAAATGTACATTCATTGAGTAAGTTTTTGAAAACAATGAAAAATTTAATGAAAAGCCACTTCTGCATGTACACACACCTAATCTACCTTTTTGTTTGAAAAAAATACCAACTATATTTTGTCATGTCACTAAGTACTCTTTTACATCAGGGAATCTGATTATTGACAGTCTCCCAAGAAAAACACACAGATATATTTTGAAAACAGAGTTCAGTGTGTTTAGTGGCTTCATAGAGTATTCATGTGGGTGTACTCTTTGTATTTAAACCTGTCCCAATTTGGAGGCTTTTAACTTACTAATAGGGTTTAGTTATGACCAGTCCCATGACATCATGTTGGCAAATAAATCTTTGCCTACGTCTTTGGTGATTTCCTTAAGGTGAATTCTTAGATGTAGGATTGTTGGTATGTACTAAAAATACTCTCCAGAAATTGTTGGCAGCTCTCTTTCCCAATGATGGCATATAATAAGAGTCCCTTTCCTCAACACACACACATACCTATAAATGAAGCTTTAAGTTGAAATTCTTTAAGTAATTATTCAAAAGCCTTTATAGAAATATACCTTGATACTTTAATAAATATAAGTGTTCTGTTTGTTTATTGCATCAGAAACCACCCCAAAACAGTGGCTTAAAACAATAGTCATTTATTTTGTTCATGAATCTGGGGGTTGAACAGTATGTTAATTTTCTATTACTACAAACTTAGTGGCTTAAAACATTTATTAGCTCACAGTGCTGTAGGTCAGAAGTCCAGGCATTGGTGTGACTAGGCTTTCTGCTCAGTCTCATAAAGCTGAAGTCAAGATGTCGGTCAGGCTGCGTTATCACCTGGGGCTCTGGGAAAGAATCTACTTCCGAGCTTATTTAACTCATTGGTATAATAGTTCCTGCAGTTGTGGGACAGAGGTCCCCATTTCTTTGGCAGTTATCAGGTGGGGGGCAACCTGAGCTCCCAGAGGCCTCCCTCCTGCTTTCCTTGCTTGCCACAACATCATACATGAGTTTTTCAGAGCCAGCAGTGGCGAATCTCCCTCATGTTCCCTTTCTATTTCCCATTGTCCTCAGGAAGTCTGGTCCCTTGTAGTGGGTTCACCGATTAGGTTACAGCCACCCAGATTGATCTCTCAAAATTAATTTAAGATCAGCTGATTGGGGAACTTTAATTACATCTGCAGAATCCCTTCATTGCAGCACCTAGATTAGTGTTTGATGGAATAATGGGGAGGGGGGAGGTGTATGCTTCAGCAGGTAGGAATTTTAGGGGCTATTGTAGATTTCTGCTTGCCTCATCCCCCATTTCAAGGGCCTAAATGTCTTGGTTCTTGTAAGGGAGTTTACCAGTGTCCATTCTATTTCATTGACTTTGGTGAATGGGAAGATTACCGTTTCTCTGAACAGGAATGGCACACAACTTCCTGAGTTCAAAACATAGCTCTACCACTTAATAATGTGACTTGGGTGTCCTCATCTCCCCCTTCTCCCTCAAGTTTTTTCATCTGTAGAATAACATGGAATTAATAATTGTTCTTTCCTTCTAAGGTTTTGATGATTAAATTATTCACTGCCTAGGAAACTCCTGAAGTAGTGCCTGGCATATAGTAGAGTGCCCTAAAAGTGTTTACTTCTTAAAAAATAAATCTGAATTTGCAATTATGTAATTCAGGCATGTTAAGCATATTAATCAGACTTCCTATTATAAAGGGACCCACAGATAAAAATGGAATTTTCTTTTCTTGGCCTTAGTTTTTTATTCTGACTTACTATATATTGTATGCATATGGTGAGCTGCCAGAAATCTATTTTGGAAAGGTAGGGCTTAAGTAAATCTTTGATATATTTATCAATATATGTTAATTTGATATATTTTGGTAATTTCACTATCATGGTAGGATATTACAAGTAGTGTACTATAATCCTGAAATCTGAGTCCATTTCTGGGGAGGCTTTTGGATATCATATCATGAATTGTTTATAATATTGTTGCTTCACACTAGGCAAAACTGGAGGAGTGCCTAAAGCAATTAAAGGAGGAAAGAGTAATAAGGCTTAAGGCTGATAAACGAGTAACTGAGGTAAAAAAGTTTTTCTTACACTTCTGAGTTTTTTTGGTTTTATTTTTATTTGCTTTTAAGTCATATATAGTTTGTAAACTTTAATGCCATAACATTGCATATTGGTTGTACCCTATGAATCTTTGCATTTGCTTATATTTAGTGGTCATATGATTTATATTCCAAAAAGCAGGTTTTTAAAACTGTAAAAACCTTAAGTTTTTGTGATTTCATATGACTTTAACTTAGTTCTTGTTCATGATGCTTCAAGCAGGTACTTATTATGCTTACAGTGTATATATACAGTAGCAAAAGACAAGATGCGAATCTCTACTGACAGTGAATTAGGCAAGTAACTTAAGTAAGTAGGAAGCCTTAGAAAACTGCTATGAATGCAGTGAAAGATAAAAATGTATACTATGAGAGCTACATTAGGCTAATGTGATGAAAGCAGGGCATAAGCTAAGAAGTATTTTTTGAAAGTACATACAATAGATTGAAGGACACTTAACTCATTAAATATTCAGCACCTGCTCATGTAAGGCAAAAGATGCATCATTCACAAAGTGGCTTCTCTGAGAAATACTACACTTAGGCTTCTCTGGGGTCTTAGATAAATATATGTGGAGGAGGGGTGTGTAAGGGAGTAAATATTTTCAGGAAGCAGAGGAGAATATCAGTAATTGTGAAGTTAATAAGTTGGTGTAACTTAAACTTACAGTTTGCTTACAATATCTTGCTCACTGAAGTTAATCTGTAACATTTTAACTTACACGTTAATATTTTGCTCATTAAAGTTAAACCTTAATATTCAGCAGCGTTGGAATTCGCTTTGTCCAAATTAAACTATTTCATTTTCTTATTTAAAGGAAGCCTTGAGCAGTAAATTTTCCAGTGTAGAATGAGGGTACGTCATGAATTGAACCAGGTAGAAATGTGATCTTTTGAATGATCATTAATAAAATTAATAAAACAATAACTTTGGTTTATTTAATTGCTACCTAATTGTTATATTGGAAACTTCGCTGGGTGTCTCCGGGTTTTGGTTATTATGTGATGTGGTCTCTGTCTTTACTCGTAAAGAGTTGATTACAAATTAATTATATTTTTTAATGTTTTAGTTTTGTTACTTAAAAACATTTTTTATGACAATGAGAGAAAATCATGTCATTTTTCAATCTTTTATAGCTGGAACGTGAAAATGCCCAATTAAGAAATATAAATTTCTCTTTGTCTGAAACCCTTCATGCACGGTCATTGACAAGCATGATCCTGGATGATGAAGGTGTTTTGGGCAGCATAGAGAATTCTTTCCAGAAGTTTCATGCTTTCTTGGATCTCCTTAAAGATGCTGGGTTAGTTGATTTCTCTCCATGGCACTCTTCTCTTTGACTGTAATGGTGGTTTGCTGGGGAACTTGAGCAATTTTCATGGCATCCATAGTTATATTTAGTGTGTAATTATAGCTAATATAGTTTTTTTAAATAAGGTATAAATTTAGAAAGAAATACAAGATGGTAAACCTGCTTTGGTAGGGAAAAAGCCCTATTAAAAGAAGAATCTGTAGATAGAATAATTAGTAGATACAGTTTTTGTAAAGGCTAAATTGGAAGTAATTTTATTTGAAAATATTCCAGAACGCATAGGAATTTCCCTACCCTTTATTCATTTTGCTTGTTAAATAAGTTTGAATTAAAACTATTTTTACCCTAGACATAAAAATTGTTCCTAATCTGTAGGGACAGGTATAGATATGGCAGTGGTTCTCAACCAGGAACAATTTTGCTAAAAGAGAGAATTTGAGATTGAAATTGATCAAATGATGTTTTGTAGGTGAATGGGTTGTGCTGGGAAGGAAGAAACAAACACATTTTTGGAAACTGGAGGAAGGTGGTACTGAAGTGTGGGAAGGGAGGCCAAGTGGGAAGGGAGGCCAGAGGCAGTGGACTAGGTCATGGTAGAAATTAAAGCTGCTGGGAGACAGTGTTTAAGATGGGCTGGTAAAAGGTAAGGAAATAAAATCAAATGGCATTTAATGCATTATTGCAGGGGAAGAGGAAGTGCTTTAAAGGACTGGATGATCTGATGTGGTCCCAGAACTTGAATATGCACAGGGCTGAGAATTTGGGCTGAGAGGTGTAGGGGCTTGTAGTCCGGAGTAGGATATTGGCTTTTAAGAGTTTAAAAGTATTTCATCCTTGTAGGTATGGGGATGTCTAAGCTGCTCTTAATAACCTTTGCCTTTCCCTCCTTCCTCCTATTGTGCAGGCTTGGGCAGTTTGCCACAATGGCTGGAATAGATCAGTCAGATTTTCATTTACTAGGTCATCCCCAGATGAATTCTACTGTTAGTAGTCCACCTAACGAAGAAAAGAAGGCACTTGAAGAAGAAAAACCAGAAGAAAAGCAGAATGCCCTAGGACCAATGCAGAATATCCAAGTAAGTAGACAGAACAGAATTTAATGATTCTAAGAGTGATTAGCAAAAAGGGAATTACCAAGTCAGAGAGAAAATGGTAACAGTCTGTCTCTAATACCTCACATGTTTGTATTAGAAGCCTCCTTGGAGTCCTTTCCAAAGCTGAGATTAGGAAATGTGTGCCCCTTCATGATGTTGTGTTGTAAATAAGAAAATTTTCATTTGAAAATTTATGATTTAAAGCAAGCTATCCTCAGTGAAGAAAGAAATGAAACATTAGAGAAAATACTCCAAATTTGAAATTGGGTAAATGTCTATTCTATTCATATTTTATCTAGGTTTCTATTTGTATGCAGTCAGCTTACAATGAAGGAACCCTAATGAAGGTACAAGTACTGATAGAGATAATTTCTTAAAATAAGTAATCCAGACATAACTACTTGGCAATACATTCCAGTTAGTCACCCAGTGACGGGAATGAGAGGGAAAAACCTGTCTGCTTTTCCTCTAGCCTTAGAGCCCCATCTCCTGTCTCAGCCAATCTCAGGCTGTTCTTGGGAACTTAAAATTTGAGGGCACAGTCTAATCACAAATTGGGTACTGCTTACACGTGCCTGAAGGACAGAAAAAAACTAATTTTCTTAGGGAATAGGGTTTTATTATTTTTGATGAAGGAAAGGGAAGTGAGTAATAATTACTACAAACAAAATATTCTGAAAATATAGTGGACATAGCTTGGATATAACTAAGTTAGAAATTACTTGGCAAGATATAGTTAGAAAAAACTGGCTCTAAAATCTTCTGTCAAGTAACTCTCTCAACAATAGGATCATAGAATAACATTGAAGTTTTTGGCTCTACTTTTTAACGGATAGCCTTTGTTCATCACTGAATTTTTGTTTCCTCCCTCCAGTTTCAGAAAATTACAGGTGATGCTAGAATTCCTTTGCCTCTCGACTCCTTCCCAGTCCCAATTTCTACCCAAGAGGCCTTAGAAATGTCCAAAGACGAGGTGGAAGTCCCAGTCACAGAGCAGCCACAGGAGTCTGTCAAAGAATTAATTGCTAGAATTTGTTCTCCTTCAGCAGATGTGATTTCTGGAACTGGAAGTCAAAGAAAAGAAGACGAGTTGTCTAGAAATAGCAGATCTTTAGAGAAAATGCCCAGAACAGGTGAATATACAAGAAACCACTCTGCTAAGAAACAACCCAGAAAGGACTTACATTCTAGTTCTGACTCATCTGTAAGCTGGAAAAATAAAGGAATTGGGCAAAATAGTTCTTTGGTTAATGAACCGATTAAAAATGAGCCTATGAAAAAACAAACTTCTGTCAAGAAAGAAAGTAGAATAGTGACTGTTTCATCCAAGACAAGTGAAAGTAAACTCAATCTACTAGAACATTCTGAAAGTAATCATCTTGGATCAGATTTTGAATTTCAAGAAAGCATCCATACTCTATCACACCTGACATAGGTCTTAATCTTTAGAAATTATGTTTTGTCTTCAAATTTTAATAAATGTCGTATGTTTTCATTAATGGCAAATGGTGTTTTAAAATATAGGATTGGAAGCCATCAGATAAAGATTTATCAATTCTTTTTATCATAGTGAAATTTTGGTGTATGTTTCCTTTCCACACTTGGCACCATTCATTCAATGAGTATTTACTGAAGGTGTAATTGCTTTTAGCCTTTGCTTTTAGCAGTGAACAAAACAAAGCCTTTATCCTCATGGAACTAATGGTCTGTGGAAGGAGAAAAAAATTAAAGCAGGGTAAGGAGACTAGGAAGGGATGGGAATAATAAATGGAATAGTTTTACCTTTCAGCTAAATGTGGAAATACTATAAATCACTCGGCCAGAAGCCATTGATATAATCTGATTCATAATAACCAGAGCAGCACATTTACTGAGGTGCTTAACATGTTTGTGGATTACAGAACCCTATAAGGTAGGGAACTATTATATTCATTTTTATAGATGAGAAATCTGAGAAGACAGATTATATGAATTGCCCAAAATTACAAAGCTGTGAATTGGTAGAACTGAGATTTGAACTGGAACCTGTGCTCTTGATCACTTTGTTATCCAATTTCCTTATTAGGAGAGGAAAGGCTTAAGGAAGACATCAAGAGAAAAGCCAGTCTGGGTAAAGTTTTTAAAAGGCAGAATACATACATTTAGAGTATATGAGCTAAATTATGTCTCCTTGGTAAAACATGCATAGATAAGTCCTTAGTTAAACCAGACTGACTTGTGAGATAAGATCAGAAAAAAGCCCAAGTATCAGTTTTCTTTTAGAAGGTCCTGCCTAACTGTTACAAGCCAAGGATACTACAATACCATTTAGTTAATTAATCATAGGGATAAGATAATCAGCATGATGTAGCCTTGGCCCTTAACAATAGAATGAGAAGGGAAGACACACAGCAGATGTCTTAATATTGCGTGTCACATTCTAAATGGGAATGCTTAAGGAATTTTTCCAAAGTTGGGGGAGGAAGAGAAAACGGGGGCCTAGAAAGGTCATCTAAAGAGACAGTACCTGAGCTGTCTTGAAGGACTAATGGGAAACTGGTGAATAAGGCCTTAAAGTAAAGGGATATTCAAGGAGGGTACAGCAGAAGCAGAAGCACGGGGGGGCACGTTTGGGGAACCACAGACGCAGAAGTTGAGAATTAGTGGAATGTCATCAGGCGGTGGTGATGCTAAACTGAGTGACAGCAGGCCTTACAATCCATGTTGCATGGAGCTGAGTTTTTCCTCAGGAAATACCTAATTAAAGGATTAAAGAATGTAAAGGACATATTGAGGTTTGCATTTTAGATCATTGGCTTCAGTGTGGAAAATCAGTTTGAAGAAGGATGGAGCTCAATTATGCCACACTTTTCTGAGGAACATTGTTTTTTATTTTAAGTGAGACTTAAACATTCCCACTTCCTCTCCAGTCCCTCCTGAAAGGATTCTGTGGGCAAACGCAAGGGAGACAGACCCTGGCTTACATACAGATAAGCGGGTTTCTTTACTGGATGACTTCTCCTGGCTGCTGTAGGCTAATGTTCATTTGGAACCTCCAAGACAGGCATATGGCATGCAGCCTTTTTAAAACATAGTTTATTGTAGGATGCTTTTTAAATAGGAGTGTCTAACCACTGGTTCTACCAAACACCAATGTGGTAACTTCTGAATTAAATAATAGCAAGAGGGAAAAAGGGCTCTTAAATACGGTATTAATGAAGAGAGGAAATAAGTTTGAGTTCTGTTTAAGAAGTGAAATAAGCAAGACTTGGTTGTGGGAAGTAAGGAAGAAGTAGGAGACAGGTGGGGCTGCCATTTCTGTGACTGAAATTGAGTGATGATCTTAGTGAGGTTGGAAGTAGGGAATGAAGAAGTGCATTCAGGAGAAGAGTTTAGATTTGGAAATGAATTTTAAAGCACCTGTAGAATTGATGAGATGACTGGTAGATGACATGGATGGGAAGACATGGAGAGAAAAATTTGAATATTGTCAGCACTTATAAGCAGCAGTTAAAGTCATGACAGTGGATGAGATTACAGAGAACTGTGAGGATTGTCAAAGTTTAAGTGATAAGCAGAGAAAAGGATTTTCTCTTCAAAATCAATGAATCTACTGAGACACCAGAATGGCTAAAACAAATACTGACAGTATTAAGTGCTGAAGAGGATGCAGAGCAACTGGAATTCTCATAGATTGATGGTGGGAATGCAAAATGGTGCAGTCACTCAGAAACAGCTTGGCAGTGTCTTTTAACATTAAACTTACCATACAACCCAGCAGTTACCCCCAGGTATTTAGGCCAGTGAGATGAAAACTTGTGTTCATGTAAATAAGCCAGGTGGAGAAAGACAAATACAATATGATTTCACTTACCAGTAGAATAAAAAGCAACAAAACAGCAATAAACTCATAGACACTATGGTTACCATGGGGAAGGGGTTGGGGTAGGTGGGTGAAATAGGTGAGAGGGATAAAGAGAAAATCTCAATCACAATATAAATTAGGGATCAAAGTACAGCATAGAGAACATAATAAGTAGTTCTATAACATCTTTCTATGTTGACAGTACACTAGTTGGGGTGAGCATTTACTAATGTAGATAACTGTCAAATCACTATGTTGTATATTCAAAAGCAATTTATATGTCAACCATACTTCAATTTTAAAAAATCTGTTCATTTTAAAACCAGTCATGGATGTTTATACCAGCTCTACACATAATCACCAAAATGTCTTCCAACAGGTGAACGGATAAACAAGTGATAGGGTACTTCCATACAATGGAAAATACTCAACAATAAAAAGTAAAATTTTTTTAAATTAAGGTATCACTGATATACAATCTTGTGAATGTTCCACAAGAGCAACATTGTGGTTTCAACATTCACCCATATTATCAAGTCCCACCACCCTATCCCATAGTAATCACTATCAGTGTGGTAAGATGCTATAGAGTCATTACTTCTCTTCTCCGTGCTGTACTGCCTTCCCTGTGAACTACCTATACTGTGATTGCAAATTGTAATACCCCTTAATCCCTTTACCCCTCATCAACCGCTTCCCTTTGGTAACCACTAGTCCCTTCTGGAGTCTGTTTGTCTGCTGTTGTTCTGTTCCTTCAGTTTTGCTTTGTTGTTATACTCCACAGATGAGTGAAATCATTTGGTACTTGTCTTTCTCTGCCTGGTTTATTTCACTGAGCATTATACCGTACAGCTCCATTCATGTTGTTGCAATGGTAGGATTTGTTTTCTTATGGCTGAATGATATTCCATTGTGTATATGTACCACACCTCCTTTATCCATTCATCTATTGATGGATACTTAGGTTGCTTCCACATCTTAGCTATTGGAAATAGTGCTGTGATAAACATACGGGTTCATATGTCCTTTTGAATCAGGGATCTTGTTTTCTTTGGGTAAATTCCTAGGAGTGGAATTCCTGGGTCAAATGGTATTTCTATTTCAAGTTTTTTGAGGAACCTCCATACTGCTTTCCACA